GAGTTGAGGAAATTAGCTTTATAGAGTTCCAGGGAAGAGGCGGAGGGTTAGAGATGCATGAGCACGCAGTCCCTCTGAGGCAAGGCAGGGAGGAACATTAATCATTGGGAGACATCTGTTCATTCTGCCGCTTTACAATTCTGTCAAAGAGCTCGGACTCCCCCAGCCCTCCCCGTCCATCCACTCAGAAAGAACCTGTCTTCTGTTAAGCTTGGACAGACATGAGTGAAACATCATAAGGAGGCTTCGCTTAGCGCCGCCTTCCATTTTATTTCCATTTCTGCTAATTTAAGACGAAGGAAAACAGGGCGCTGGTGTGCAAATCAGGGCTATTATCTGCAAAATGCCAGCTTGCAGGGAGCCCTGATGAGCATGTCATGAAGCAACCTGCTGTGCTGGTTTTTATGACAGCACAGGTGTTTGTCACGTTAGAGGAAGCTGCTGCACTCTTATTCACGGCTGCATGACGGATGCAGGACCTTATGATAATGAAGAACTCTGCAATTGTTGTACATTAACAACTGGACATAAGGTCTATCCAATAAGAGGAGGACTATTTCTTTTTCTACCTTTTCAGCATAGCTTAGGGTTGCACCTATCAACAATTATAGCCTAGTATTTATTCATTTAGTGATTATTTTTCAGATAAGTCTAAAGAGATGCTTTTAGTAAATTAGCATTAAGGTACTGCGGAAGTAAATGTAGCTTAAAGGCCAAAGCCAAAGGTTTCACTCCTGCTCTCATTCCAACCTTCATTGTCCTGCTTGCTGGCTGGTTGCCAGGTCAGCCATCCTAACCTTGGTTACCATAGACATACATCTAAGACTAGACCCCGCTTCGACCGCTTTCGCTTATTGGGGCTGACATGATTTGGTGGCGCCATCTTGGGGCGGTCGACAGCTCTGCTCAGTGTAATGGGTTTCATTTAATTTAGTTCAAAAATACTTTATTAATCCCAAAGGGAAAAAATGAAATCAATTTTAATCAACTTTAACTCGATAAATATTAAACTAATTTTCATTTTGTTTACTTCCTTGTTGAAAACAAACAAATGATTCATTGCATTTAAATATTCTTAGTGGATTTAAGAGTAATAGAATAGGATGTATGTAGGTTTTTATATATTTTTTATTACTATATAAACAAACACACTTATACAGGTATAGAGATATATGCACATCGCTCTCACTATATATATATAAATATATATATATATATATACATTCAGTTCACCAGATCATCCAGTCAGATTGATTCAAAGTTTTCTATCTAAGGAAAACCAGCTGATTGCATCGACTCATTGACTCTTCAGCAATCCCTCACACTAAGCATGCTTGTAGCGACAGTGGAGAGGAAAAACTCCCTTTGAACAGGAAGAAACCTCCAGCAGAACCAGGCTCAGTGTGAGCGGCCATCTGCTGAGGCCCACTGGGGTTCAAGGAAACAGAAGCAGACATAGAAAAAGAAGCATAGATACAAAAGGCAACTGTCCACCAGCTCCACAGGCGGCCCCGTCCAGGAAACACACAGCCAGGCAGACGAGCTCCGAGCCAGCTCCCATGTCAGAGGATGAAGAGAGCACATCCAGTTAGTCACAGTCAGAGACACAGGACTACACTGGAAAACAGGCCAAGCTCCAACATCTAGAAACAAAGGTGTTGATGGCAGCAGCACAGCTGATATTTCTCTCCAGGATGGAGTCACAGCCAAACAGGAACAGACCAGATGAAGCTACTATGAGAAAAAGCAGAGAGAGCAGAACGTTAGAGATTGAACTAACAGATTCTGCAGAGTGGGAGAATAGAGATAGAATGAAGCAGAATGATGAAAAAGGGGTCCCTATGTCCTCCAGCAGTCTAAGCCTATAGCAGCAGAACTATAGAGATAGCTCAGGATAACCTGAGCCACTCTAACTAGAAGCTTTATCAAAAAGGAAAGTTTTAAGCCTAGCCTTAAAAGTAGACAGGGTGTCTGCCTCACGGACTAAAACTGGTAGTTGGTTCCACAGGAGAGGAGCCTGAGAACTAAAAGATCTGCCTCCCATTCTACTTTTAGAAATTCTAGGAATCACTAGTAAACCTGCAGATTGAGAGCGAAGTGCTCTGTTAGGAACATAAGGAACAATCAGATCTCTGATATCAGATGGAGCTTGGCCATTTAAGGCTTTATATGTGAGAAGGAGGATTTTAAATTCTATTCTGGATTTAACAGGAAGCCAATGAAGAGAAGCCAGGATAGGAGAGATATGATCTCTCTAAGGGGGAAATACAAAACCTATCTTTTCCTTTCCGTCCTGAGTCAGGCAGTGGCTCCATCACTTTAGTGAATACCTCTTTCCAATAATCATCTTTTAGAGGCAGTGGGAACGCTCACTGACCCGTTTTGACCCTGTGTCAAACAACTCGACAAGCGACATGGGTTCAAATCACCTTCAAAAAGCTCGGCTCCGATCGGCATACACTGGGAACATCAGACTGTTGCTGTTGAAAAGTAAGTTGTGTCTGTAAACATCTTTTATGTTTTTTATTTTTGTATGGTTGTTTTAGTTTTTTGCGCTTCAAATCTGATCTTCCCAGGCCCAGAATAATTTACTTTCCAGTTTTCACATCGTCTACCTCCTATAGGACCCTTATGTCAGTTGATAACAATATTAGCAGTCTAGGCAGTGTGCTGAGAAAGGCCTTTCAAGCCTCTTTTCCAGTGAAAATAGCAGGTTAATGCGTGTTTTTCAAACATGGGTCGACCTGTTAACAATCACCATTTAGCTCCCTTCCCATTGGCATAAAAAGCTGGACTAACCCTTCACTGGCAGCTGTGTGTCTGGTGACATCATCCCGCTGGGTTAGCGTTGATGAATTAGAAAAACTTTACTGTCATTTTGTATACACGGAGTGTATTCAAAATGAAAGTTTGTTTTGTACAGCTCTCATTACATGTCCATTTCAATGTCATCAAAGTGATGATGTCATCAGTGCGACAGCTATCAGGAAAGTAGACAATGGAGAGCAGCATGTAATGAAGCCATGGCGTAGTCAGTGTGCTTTATTGTTTCTCTTTATCATCTGTCTGAATCCCTCTCACCAGAGCTGCTCTATGTTTATCGAATGGAAACAAAGTTTTTTCTTCTTGTTAGATCAGAAGCAACTGGTGCGTTGTGTTGACGTCCGTACGTAACATTTAGGCCCCGTCCACACGAAGTCAAACCCTGGCCTAAATTCACTAATTTTTCACCAAACCAGCCTCTCATCCATACGAAGCCGGCGTTTCGGGGGTCTGTAAACAATCTTTTTTTTATTAAGCCTTCAGAGTGGGAAGATTTTGAAACACCGTTTTCGCGTTTCCATCTTTAAGCTCTGACCGCATTTTTTTTCTTACACGCATGCGTCATAGCGTCGCCTCTAAACACGAATCTTCTTCTTCTGGAATATCTCCAGGAAGAACAGAGCAATATCGATCTTTTCGATTTGGCTCTTCTTCTAGCGGTTTTCCGGTTTGGTTGTTGTATAAATATTACTGCGCATGCCCAACATTTCGTTGCCCGTTTTCGCCTATTTTTGCTTTGGCACCACAGCGCCACTTACAGGCCTGGCATACATTTTGCAGCGTTTTCATGCATTCGTGTGGACGATCACATTTATTTTACGTCTCCGTCTTTAAGACAAACGTTCTGGAAAATATTAGCGTTTCGTGTTCCTTTTGACTTCGTGTGGACGGGGCCTTATTGGTATCACATAATTTAGCGTCTCTGATGTTCCCACAGCATGATGATCAGAGCCGAGGAGATTGTAAGGCGGGACGCTTGCTGAGTTGTTTGACCCGGGTAGACATGCATTAGTGAGCCACTGCCACTAAAAGCACATTGTTCCCGGGTTTAAACGGGTTTTTCGGCCAGTGGAAAAGGGGTATAAACAATGAGTATGCCTTTCTTTTGTAAAATAGGTAAATCCTTTATTCTTATGAAATTAGAAGATGCTGGCCATGATGTTATTGTTCAGAAATAAAGAAGCACCAGTGCTCAGCATGTCTACCTTCCTCATGCATGTGTGACATCAGCAAGGCAAACACTAGCTGCTCTTTCATTATTTCCAAGTTCATTTTAATCTTTCTAGCTATAAACCGGAATTTCGGGAGATTTCAAATGCCCTTGAGCCCCTTTAACCAGATCAAATGTCGCCCTGTATCTTTGGACTGGGACAAGCACCCAATAAATCTCCCTTATCTGCTGAAAATAGCCGGCAACATTTTCAGCGGGAGCATCAAATCAAATCTGAATTCAACCAGTGAGCAAACAGCGATTCAATGATCTCCTCCCATTGGGAAGAGGGGAGAGCCGAAGATGAATGAGACCTTTCAGCAGGTTTTGAGGACTGTAGGCATGAGGGTACTTTGTCATCATAATATTGAAAGTGAGTTTTCCAAGAGGTTGTGCCTTTTGGCCACGAAGCTATGAGCTGCCCTGTTTCACAACTCATTAGAGGCAACATTTTGATTGACTGCCTCCTGTTCAAGCTGATATCCAAGTTCACACAAACCTCTCCAAAGCTCTAAAAAACTTTTCCACTGAGAGCGAGTCCTGGTGGTAATGTTACACCTCAGCTGGACTGAATACTAACATCCATAACCCTAAACATTTTTACATTCTGTTTTCTTCCTCTCTGGCGTATAAATGTAAATTCGGAAAAAGCATCTTTTCTTTCATTTTTGGTCATGTTGGAGAATTGTGTTTTGTTTCATTGTGTTTCCCATGATGTTATTGTTCCTTCTCTTCTGTTGTGTTTTCTTTGTACAGCGCTCTGTGACATTGTATCTGTGAAAGGCGCTTTATAAATAAACCGTTTGTGGTTCCTTACTATAATTACCCCACCCTGAAGTCTGTTTTATGATGTAAGAACAGGGGAGGTGTGAGTGTTTCAACACACAGGTCTGATGCAGAAACACCATTGACTTCAAGAAGGCATAAATAGGCTATTCCACACAAAGGAATATATTTCAAATATTTTATTAATTTTATGCAAACCTCTTCATATGTTCTACAAGCAAGAAAGTCAATAGTTACAGTCATTTCCTAAATTAAGAGAAGCTTGTTTTCAGGATTGGTACATTAAAAGCTTAGATTGTTAATATGGTATTGAACGGGGATGGGCAGCCAAAGAAGGGATTCTGCATCAGACGTTCATCCCGTTTTGGTAAAAACAAGATTTCTCTCTCTGTCGAAGAGCAGCAACAAGTTCCTGGCCGATTCTGTACGTCTCTGCTGCATGATAATGTGCAGACGCATATATCTCCTCAATGCGTCTGTTGTTCTTGTTGAGTTTCACCAGAACTCTGTCCTGGTTACTTTTAGGATCTCTGCGGTCGTAGTACTTCCTGACATCGTAAGGCAAGTCCTCTGCATGATGAGAGTGGAGGTTCCCGAGAGTAAAATATCTGAACTGCCTTTTGTCATGAATCACTGGAAGCAGAGGAGGACGTCCAAAGTTCTTGAACTCATGGAATCCATATTCTCCCTTTTCAGGATCACACAAAGCCCTCATGTTGTTGTCCAGGCAGGTTTGGACGTACCACTTTAGGAGCTTGAGGCCGTGGCGGGGCGGGGGACGACCAAAGCCGCTGTTCTGTAGCTGTTGTTCTGAGTCCAGAGTCCTCAGAGCGGATGTAAGGACCAGCAACAACACGAGTGTGAAGTGAAACAAAGCATCCCTCCACTTGCCTTGCACCATCTGAAAAACCCCAAACAAACGGAGAATAAACCATACAAACCAAAACCTTCCAGCTGCACTTAGCCACCTTATGATCTGCAATCACTCACCTTTATGTTTGAAGACCAATAATGAAATGAAGACAGCGATGGGTTTGGTGCCTCAGAGGAGTCTGCTTGTTCTCCTTTTAACTTCTCTCTGTTTCTGCATGCTAAAGACGTGGGACCAGCTGCCTCGACAGGAGGAAGCGACTTTTCAACTTCCTCTTTATGGCATAATAGAACAGCAGTCACAAAAAAGTTTCATTTAAATTAAGACAAGCCTGAGCAGATTCGCTGCAGGTGTCCAGCTACAGATACTTTCAGTATATCTGAACAGACACCACCTCATTCTCTAATGCAGGGGGGTCAAACTGGTTCCAGAAAGGTTGCAAGTTTTCTTTCCAACCAAGCAATAAGACACTAGACTTCATTCATCTTATCAAATGATCATGTTCAGATTGGACTCAGTTGATGAGATGACTTGGGAGTGAAAGGTCCCATACTATTAAAAATTCACATTATAGACATTTTGTAACACTCAAGTGTGTCCTGAAGCCTGTGTATGAGATACACAAATAAAATATATCTATAATTGCCCTTTTCTACCTCTTTAGATCTCATTTCATCAATTGATTCTAATCTGAACATGATGACTTTATGAGATGAATGGAGTCTGGTGTGTCATTGCTTGGTTTGAAATAAAACCTGCAGCCTCACGGCCCTTTCTGGAACCAGTTTGACACCCCTGCCATAACAGCCCACCCTTGGTTGGGCAGCATAAAGAGGTTTTCGGTAAAGGCCATCTAGCTGATCTCAGACTACATGCTCTGGGGGCCTCATTGTTAATATTTTTTATTTTCAAAAATAGCATAATGTCATCGAGTTTAAGGTTTGGTCTCAAATGCAGCGACGGAGGCTGAGGTGGTTTCTTGTAGACTTGATAGAGCGCTAGCAACAGAAGCATAAATCCAGAAGTAATTAACCAGGGAACACAGGAACCAGGACAAAGGGCCGAAAAAGGATTCAAGAGGGAATGAAGGGAATCCAGCAACCAGGGAATGCAGAGGAGGTGTATGCCAAGCAGAATGAATGCAGTAATTAACAGATTGTGAGCAGGTGTGGACAGAAGTAACTAGAAGGGAGCTAAAGGAAATGAGACTGGCACAAGGGGGAAACAGAGAGTAAACAGGAAATCTAACAGTGCTTAAATATAACTAGAAAATATATTAGATGACACTAAAGGGAAATTAACATAATGTCTAGAAAACACGGAATTACATCAATCAAAGTGTAACTGAAAACCCAAATAGAAAAATTGGAACAAAACCAAAAATCCTAATTATGAGATCATGACACATAATGTGGGACATTCAACACAAATTGTGTGATGTGTCCTTAGTGCTGACTAAGGCTCAATCCCACACCGGCCCCTAAACACTAAACCTTATGACTAACCGTCTGGTTGCACCTTCCTGTGGAGGGTCCGCCACATTTAAGGGCCGTCCCAAACCATGTAGTGGGTGGGGCCAGTGAAACGTTCAGCCCTCAAACTTGGCAACAGGTGTAGCAGCAGCCTGATGGCGGAGGAATCATGCATTTAAATGTTAGTTCCACTGGTTTGCTGCATCTTCATCACAATGACAAAAAATCACAAGGTATTGAAACAGTTGTATCTGACCATGAAAATGTGTTTAAAGAAAGGGGTAAATGTTTTATTTTATGGCACCCTGCACCACAGAGCTACAGCTACGCACATGGGGAGTCACTGTGTTGCCATAGCAATGGTTGCTTTCCTTTTCCATTGGAGGGAAGAGGCCGTCCCATTCTCGTTTAGACCCCGCCTTCAATCAAGGTGCTTTTCACAGCTGTGAGTGAGACCTGATAGTTAAATATTAGCGGTTCGGGAGCGGTTTGGGAACTGTTTTCTCAGCAGTTCGCTGTCTGATGGCGGTGGGGAAGAAGCTGAATTAATTTGAAGGAAGGAAGCTTGGCAGGAAGTCCAAGCGCTTCTGGGCCCTTTGCACCAGTGAGGTGGTGTTTCCAGTCCAGGTGAGGGTGTCTGTGATGAATGTGGTGCTGCTGACCACCTCTACAGCTGAGCTGTTGATGAGCAGTGGAGCGTGGTTAGGCCGCTTCTTCCTGAAGTCCACCATGATCTCCTTGGTCTTCTCCACCTTCAGGATCAGGCTGTTATCTCTGCTCCACCAGCTGCTCCACCTCCTCTTTGTAGTCCAGGTCGTTGTCGTCTCTGATGAGGCCCATCAGTGTATATATATAATTATCAACTTTTCAAATAAACCATCATCTAACTTAATTAAGAAATACTCTGCCTCAAATTGATTATTAATTAGGCAAATTAAGGGCTAATCCCATTTTAGGACCAGAGAATAAAGGTGTTCTCCATTAGAAACCTTTAGTTCAACAGAGAAAGGATCAATGAGAGCAGCGGTTATAAAAACCAGTCCTCTGCTTTAACATGTGCTTCTCTTACTCATCTTCATATTCAAAGTCTTTCTAATCAGAGGAAGTTGGAGGTCATCTGCAGACCAAGATGTCTTCTTCTTAGTGAAACAGCTTCCCCTCTGAACCCGTTTCCTACCCCTTGCAGCAGGACTTTTCTTTCAAACAGAGTTTCCTCTATTCATCTGTTTTTGTGAGGTACATAATGTGAAGCCACAGCCATGATGCAGTGTTCTAAGATGTTAGGCTCTACATGTAGGGTTGGGAATTGAAAAGATTTTCACGATTCCGATTCCCTTTTCGATTCTATGAAATGATTCGATTCTTTATCGATTCTTTTTTCGATTCCAATTTGGGGGAAAAAGGAGAACAAACAGTTTGATTATCAGCATCAACTTTGTTTACTTAACTATTGCACAATCTTACAAACTCAACAAGATCAAGATGTCCACAGGAAATGTGAAACTGGAGTAACATCTGTGTTTAAATGAAAAATAAATATACAAGAACAAACTTAATAACCAACAATGTCTAATAACAAATGATGGGATAATAACCTATTTTAAATAACAAAAAATACTAATTATAAAAGAGTAGTAGGGAAAATTAACAGTTATTTTGCAGAAAGATGAGCATATCTGCTTTTTCTGGAAGGATACGGGATCTTTCAGGGCTTATGGTGTCTCCAGCCGTGGAGAACACCCTCTCAGATGGGGTGGAGGAAGCCTGCACACAGAGGTAGTTTTCAGCCAGTCAGATAGCAAGGGCAGCGTATCTTGCTTGTTCCACCACCACAGTGTGGCGCTATCCCTGCAGGGGATGGAGGGCAAGCTTTTACAGAGCTGGATTTCCTGATCTACCCTCTGGGCTAAGGAAAGACGGGGCTTTGATTCACAAAGTGACCGCAGCTCGTTGTCTTCCTCCTCGAATAGTTCTTCCAACTTGCGTAACTTGCGTAACTTGCGTAACTTACGTAACTTACGTAAAAAACGTGACGTAAGTCGTGCACCCCAGAGCCGGCGCTCTAGGCTCTGGTGCTGCGGGAATCGAAAAAAGAATCGTTCAGTGAGCTGCCAAACGATGCCATGGAATCGGAAAATACGGAACCGGTTCTTAACAGGAACCGGTTTTCGATTCCCATCCCTATCTACATGTACCTCTTGTCTAAATGAATCCCTCTGTCATGTCCTGCTCTCAGCCCTGCAGCAGACAGGCTTGATGTTCACACCAAGGTGTGGAGCCTGACACAGAGTTATAGTTATCTGGTGAAGAAAAGTAGAAAAGGCATCTGGCTATTTAGTTATCACATGCATAACAGAGGAATAAATAAACGCATGGATCAATAAATGGGAAAATTCTGGCAACAAAGCAAACAGACAAGTGAAAGGACAATAATAACAGCTTCCCTACACCTTTAGAGAAACAACTCCATTTCACTCATTGCCCCCCCGCCATGCTTCTGTGTTTTCATCTGAGAGGAAGAAGAAGAATCCTGTTTGCTCACTGAGCAATTTGCCCACGACAGTCGAATGAAAATCAACCATTTTTGTTTTTTCCCGACCTTACAATTCCTGATGGGGAGGTGGTCGTTAGAGGCTGATCCCCCCACGTTACCCCCTGTACACTACACCACGCATGTCGCATGATCAGGCTGAAAGTCGACCCCATCGGAAAATCCTTGCACGACTGGAAAGTCGCTCCAAAAGGGGCAAAAAATCTCACATTGTATGCCCGGCTTAAATAAGGGCGCTAATATAAGAAAAGCTCTGAGGCCATAATTTCCCTTTTAATCCGAAATGTAAAAAAAAAAAAAAAATCTGGAGAGGAATAATTAAATTCAGTTTATTTATATAGCAGCAATTCATAACCAGTTGATTGCATCGACTCATTGACTCTTCAGCAATCCCTCACACTAAGCATGCTTGTAGCGACAGTGGAGAGGAAAAACTCCCTTTGAACAGGAAGAAACCTCCAGCAGAACCAGGCTCAGTGTGAGCGGCCATCTGCTGAGGCCCACTGGGGTTCAAGGAGACAGAAGCAGACATAGAAAAAGAAGCATAGATACAAAAGGCAACTGTCAACCAGCTCCACAGGCGGCCCCGTCCAGGAAACACACAGCCAGGCAGACGAGCTCCGAGCCAGCTCCCATGTCAGAGGATGAAGAGAGCACATCCAGTTAGTCACAGTCAGAGAAACAGGACTACACTGGAAAACAGGCTAAGCTCCAACATTTAGAAACATATAGATATAACATATATAGCTACATATAGCTAGAACCTCCCAAAGCTGAACCAGGAGCCTCTGAGGATGGAGTGATGGCTTGGTGGCTGATCCACCATCAGAATAAAGCTATTCAACTGAAAATCTGACCAAAACCAGAATCATAACTTTGGCTGTTGGGTAGTGTTTCGATGAACGGTCGGTGGATCCACAGTGAGTCAGAGGCCTGTGAGATGACTTCCTTTTTAATTTAGCCATTAAGTACATGAGCAGGGATCCAAACAGAGAAAAATGTAGAACGTTTAAGTTGTTTATGTCGTCAAAAGTAAGAGAAAATCTACTGGCAGAGACGATCACCCTGTAGGTACCAGATCTGCTCGGGGCCCCGCCCCTTCTTATGACATCATCACATGGCAACTCCACTCGGATAAACGCTATTGCAACCGTTTCTGAAGGATCAAATCTCTTTTGGAGTCTCAAGACATT